GAGTATAGGAATAAAATGAACGTCCACATTTCTTGACTTTATTGTGGACATGAGATTCTTATCCGCAGATCTCAAATGTCTTGATGGTACGTATGACTCAATATGTCAAATTAATGTTCATTGTTGTTCATGTACACAAAAGAGCAAATTTGTTACCGATTGTAGCTTTACCCGGTAGCCTATGTAACTTTATTAATAATTGATGTTGTTTTAAAAGATAATTCTAGAAAATTAATTGAGCAGCTCTTATTTGACACCGCTGCGGACTGCTATTCATTTCAAAATTTAAAATGACGAAAAGTAAATCAAGTCTTGATAAAATAAATTGTGGAATGCGAAGCTGGAAAGAATTTAAATTCAAAAGGTGAGATATTTGGTATATTTTCCTTAATTCACAATACATTTGTTTGCATTTGTGATTGATTGGATGTTTCATTGACGATATTTATGGTCAAAGTAAACGTCTAGGCTTTTTTCTTTCTTACTAAAAGCAGTATAATCTTCAGAACCTATCCTCACGCTATCAATGCTACTGAGTTAAAACGTCCTGTTGGTGTTGCCCAGTAATGATTTTGTCTTCTTCTCGTTCATCACTAGTTTGTTGACAACCATCCACTTGTGAATATTTTCAACTCCACAGCAGCTCATGCCGGTCAATAAGTTGGTTACATTAGACTTTGGACAGGACACAAAAATGCGGCTGTGGGTTATCAGCATACACACAATCGTTTAGACCACCGGCACTTACAATGCACCCTTTTCCTAATCAAGTATCAAGATACAGAGTTCAAATGCAGCAATGAAAGTTGAAATACCGGTATGACAACCGTCAAATTGATTCAACAAAGAGAGTTCAAATTCAACACAATGGAGCACGTAAACAGTTGCCAGATCAAACGTAATCACAGGAGAGCTCAAACGTAAACACTAGGAAAAACTAAAATCGTCATGGTCAGTTCAAATGCAACATAGGAAAGTTCAAATTCGGCAATACTAAAATTACGAAGCTATGATTAAACCAGAGTCAGGGGAAGCTACTCTGTCTCTTAGCAAAATGTTCGTTGAGGATCACGAACAGCCCCCCCCCCTTCCAAATACCCCTCCCCTGTAAAAA